CGGGACTGGCTACATCACTTGTGGGGCCCAGTGCAAAGTAAAATTACAAGGCCTATATATTAAGCAGAGCCTTAATAGAGAATGCAAAGGGCCCTTAATGCAAAGAGCCCTGTGCAAATGCAGTTTACATGCCCGACTCTGCTCTCAGATTGCTCGTTCATCCTGGCAGGATAGAATCCAAAGCTAATATCAAGAGGCCATGGCTCCCCATCATCTGTGACTTAGATTTGTTGTCAGGGCCCATCTCCTCCAGGGGAGGATAGTGGGTTAAAAGGAAAGTTGGAAACATCGGTGATCCCCAAACTCAGAACATATCTGGGTTATAGCTAACTGGCTCCCCCCGCCACCCCCCCCCCCCCCGGTGGGGGAAGTAAGAGTCAGACTGGTATAATTAGGGGTATAAAAATTGATGATTTGGTTAAATGGGGGAAAGGATTTGGTGAGGAGGAAATTGCAGCTAAATAGCCAGTGGGCATTTGGGTTTATAAGAGATCTTAGGATGTATTCTCAAAGGGGAGGAGGAGAAAGGTGTGGCCAGACCCAGTGGCTGGGCATGGTGGGAATTCTACCCAGCAGATTTGGTGTTGAGTGTGTCCAGCCTGGGGCGTTGGGAACAAATAGCTTGACACTTACAGAGGCCCTATTGTAAGTTACTTATGTGTATCAACACATGTAACCTTCACTGCAATCCTAAAAGGTAAAGAATAGCATTAACCCCATTTAACAGGTACAGACTGAGGCGTAGGAGGTGAAGTCAGTGGCTCCCGCAAGGTTACACAGCTAGTAGGTTCCAGAGCTGAGAATCCAACCTAGTGGGTGCATTACCCAAGAGCTGCCTGTTCCCAGAGTTTGGAGAAGTTTGTTGAACACATAATTGATAATATCAGTTGTTGTTTATCTAGTACTCAATATAGACCAGACCTCCTTTGTGTCCACCTTCATATCCTGAACATTTCTACTGGTTCAAAGTGTCTTAAAATCGGTCCTGATGTTTTTGGTGGTTACACTGATTTTGTTCCTTCTCATAGTACCCCTAAGACAATCTTTCTCATAGTACCCCTAAGACAGTCTTCCTCACAGTACCCCTAAGACAGTCTTCCTCATAGTACACCTAAGACAAATGAAGAACTTCATCAGTGCATCCGCTGAGTTCCCCCTTTTTTAAAAAATATATTTTATTGATTTTTTACAGAGAGGAAGGGAGAGGGATAGAGAGAAACATCGATGAGAGAGAAACATTGATTAGCTGCCTCCTGCACACCCCCTACTGGGGATGTGCCTGCAACCAAGGTACATGCCCTTGACCGGAATCAAACCTGGGACCCTGGAGTCCACAGGCCGATGCTCTATCCACTGAGCCAAACCGGTTAGGGCTGACTTCCCCTTTTATACTGTTGTTTGTGTCTGAAACTAACAAACATACCAACCTCACTGCCTGCTGGAGTCAAACTTCTCAGGGTCTTTTTTTTTTTTTTTTTGCCAGCATTTTTCTATTGTCCTGTTGACTGGGAAAGAATTCAGTGAATAATGGTGTGATTAATCCTGATGTCTCTACCTGGATGTTTACG